TCGCCATCTTAAGACCGATGCACTAGTCCCGCACGACGCGTAGAATACTTAAGGATCCGTGTCTTCCGCGACTCCTACCACCCCATCCGCGGCGACCTCCATCTTCCCCGGGCTAGGCGGCTGGAATGACGTGTAGTACGCATAAAGTATTCCTAGGAGACGATCCGTTTCGAAACTGAGTTACGGCTGCTACGTGGTCCAGGCGGCGATACGGTCCGCGACATCGATGAGGTCGATCACGGAATTATGCACGGTACCGCGGAAAGAACGAGGGATGATTATATTTCCATTTGCCGGCGACAGAATGTTACGCGTGGGAGCGATAAATGCGAGCAAGCGGAAAAAAACTTGAGATCGGAAAAGAGATGTTCTCTCAATAGTTATTCTCTTGAGGAGGGGGGGAGGGGGATTAGACTCAATATCTTAGTTTTAATTGAACCTTTAAGTAAAATCAGGAAAATTAACAATGTAAAATAGAGGGTGAAGTTGATGAAAGCATTGAATAAACATTATGAGACGAAGAATAATCACTGTAATAAAATTGATGAGATTGATTTCAGATATTTGAATTTTTTTATATCAAGAGTTTTATTTCTGAAATATTTTCATTTTCTAAGTATTATTTGTAGATTTATATATTTTTAAAATAAATAAATAAATCTGAAGTTATCACAATAGATCAAACTTTATTGTGTTATAATGCATAACGATGTCTAATCGCTAAAATTAAGCAATGTTGAGTTAACACTAGGACAGAAAAATTGCTTAGATTGTCGTTGAAATAAATTTTTCTCTTATATTTTTATTCCTTTAGATTTAATTAATTTTCTATACTTAAAATTAAAAAATAATTTTATATTATTAATATGGAAAATTTTTTCTTAAAATACGTAATTTATATTGTAATCTATGCGCTCAATACAATAATCTAATTCGTCTCATAATGTTTACATGTTTACATCGGTGTGTTGTCGTCACGTAAAACATCGCACGAAGAAGCGAGAGTTAAGATACCGAAGAGGCGAGCAGGACTCGTTGATCCTATCTTATCAATGATGCAGTCGAAAGAGATACACGATGCTACGGTTGCTTCAGCGAGGCACGATGCATGTCCTTGGGGGTCGATTTCGCCGAGGACGACACAGGATCGACGAATAATCACTTTTCCGAAGTATCCTCTGGCCAACATTCCCGTGGATAGCCACCCGCGTCCGTAGATAATCATTTATTCAGGATGGGTAATGAATCGGACGCCCATGGGATCGTCGTCATCGCCTTCGTGTGGATCGTCAAGTCTATTCGTGAATTTTCGTTGATTTCCGAAGACTTGCTCAAACGCTTTATAGTCGGCCGGAAATGGCAATTGTTACAGTATATATATATAGGCTGTTTCTTTTTGTTCATTTATCTTATGTGCGACTCCTCCGATCAATCTGAAATTTATTTTTTCTCAATGGAAATAGCTTTTATTGAAGCTTTCCCGATTTCAGTTTAAATTGATCAAAATCTATCTTTAGTCATCTTAATTTCAACTTGAGCCGATCTTAATGCAATTAAATATTTTGATATTACATTGATAAAGTACAGGAAACAATTTTTTTTTTTGCGACACTTTGTGTTGCGAATGGATCCATTACGAAGATCCACAATGTTGTACGAACCCATGCAAGAATTCAATCGATCTCTGACTGTATTAAGTCAGTCCGGCCGGAGACGCTTGATTGATCGCCTGAACGCGCGACGTGCCCTTTTCTTCCTCACAGGCGTAAGCGACCATTTGTTTTCCTCTTCCCGCTTTCCATGCAGAGCTATTTGTTTAAAGTCGTGCGGTACGGAAGAAAGAGAGAGTCGCCTCGTTTATTAGAGAAGCCTACTGACAAATGGCTGCATCCGTGACAGCCCGTCGCCTGGTCGATTGAAGGTCAGACAATTTACAGAAAAAAAAAAACAGAAAAATTTACCTCACAGCTCATTATTGTTACAGTTGAACGCGATATAGGCAAATTAATTTAAAAGCATTTGACAATTTCTGAGAAACTAAGCGATTCTTACCGGATGCTACGCCAACCGAATTGACGAGAGAGCGTGTTCGCGCGAATTGCTTACCATCCGACTTACGTAGCTCTAACTACAAATGATTGTGAACAAAATTACGCTTGTTCCTGTACGTAGCCGTCAACGGAAGGAACATATCTCCGTCACGATCTGCGCGTGGAACGAATTAACCCGCGGCACGCAACGCACGAAAATTGCATGAACCGCGCGAGTTCCCTAATCTCCCTCTCAAAAATTCCATTAGCCGCGCAGTGTCCGACGATAATTGGACATCGACGTTTTTTAATCCGGTTGACCCGCGCAAATGCAACTGACGTGCAAATCCACGCAGTATTCGGGACACATCTGCGCAAAATGAGATTTTAGTATTCGGTTGTTTAAAAGTTAACGCGCAAAAAAGTAAAAAAAAAAAGAAACGGGAAAAGTGCGTTATTTGCAGCATTATGGCATTATAAAAATATATAATATTTTGCAAACTTTTAATTTTAAAATAGTATCTTCATAGAAGAAGGAATGTTAAGCATAATCGTGTGCTGCGTTGAAAGAATGCGGCAATGTATAGAAATGTGCGTTGTTTTTCCGATGTAATAATGATGAAAACAAATAGGCAGACATCATGACATTTACCATTTTCTGAAGCAATTTAAGAGGATTGTTTAGCCAGATTAAGAATAATTACGTATGTATCATAGTGCAAGTCGACGGAGCATTATGAACTGTTAAATTGATTAATATTGATGCGCATGAAAGACAGCTCTGATTAAATGAACGAAACGTATGATTTAGACAAAGTCGATAATGATCAGTCTTAATTTTCCTTAGTCTTTTTACGCATGACTAAAAAAAAAAAGTTGACCTACGCCTATTCAACGGTATTTTCCATCGACCGTTGATTGCGTCGACGCGTGTCTTTGCGCCGTAGCGTCGAGATCAACCCTAAAGAATTGCCATGCGATCATATTTCCCTCCGTCCTCCAGCGGACACATCCGTACGTCGGATCCTCGCGCCACTACATCACTCAGAGTTGTCACAGGCCGGGACAGGTTACGACGTCCTCGGTTTCCACCAATTTGGCGACACGCTCGCGCTTTCGCGAACCCGGGCCGAGTTATTGCACGGACGACGCGCAGGACGGGGGTTGTAAATAATATGGAAAACCGCGGGGTGGTATAAGAGGGCTGCGACCCACTCCATCGAGCGCTCTGACATTCCGCGCGAATGCGCACGTGTGTACGTTCGGCAAGGACACGGGAAAAGGAATACGAAAAAGAAAACGGAGCGATCGTGAGATGAGGAGGGGAGATTCGAAAAGAGGTTGGGGGGCGGAAAGGACGCGACGGTTCGGGATAGCGGCGCTTCTGACTGGCGGTATATACGCTTACGGTGACTCGAGTCGCCATATTTCAAAGTGGGGCATCCTCCGAGGGGCCGTGAATACCTTAATAGTCATAAGGTGTATCCGCATACGCGCGGTATATGGAGTTGTCCCCTAAAACGTATTCGAACGTTCCATAGTCGGCAGCTGCGCGGGATGATACGGCTCTGGGCGGCTATTCTCCGCAAGGATACGACTAGTAGGAGCGCAGACGACACAGGAAGAGCGTCGCTACGTACGCGCTAAAGCAGTTATGCCACCGCGGAAATTGCAATAGCCCGGGATACGTGCGATTGAAATTCGCGGCGGGGCGATGCGAAGTATTACGACCGCGCGGTACTTCACAAAATTGTTCGGATAATTCTCGACGTAACTCGCAGATCGCGCGTTAGCGAGGCTCGTCGCTGCAATCCAGGGAAAGCTATTATCCCTGCGTCGCGGAGAGAGTAGCAGTAGCGCAGATTAATCAGGCAGAATTACAAATTAATTATTTTTTCACCCCTGTATTAATTGTAATAAATCTGTCTTGCGAGTGTTTCATCCATATCTCACGTACGTTTGCGCACGGCGCGGTGCTTTAATAATGAGGGGCTCTCTATTACTCAATGGCTATTAGGAAGAACGCGGGGTGGCTTTCGGTTCCACTCGCTTCACGGTGCAATCGGTTAATCACCGCTCTCTCTCATTCCCGGCCGGCACGGCCTGAGACAAGGTTTAAGCGCCGACGTAGCCGCGCGCCCTTCGGCCCACCCACCGGTCCCCATATCAATTAATCTTACCCAGAATGCAATAACTGTCCAATCTGCTCCCGTGGCTGCGTCATGGTGTCGTGCAGTCTGTGCTGTAATGTCCTGCCGCTTTCTCCGTCTCTCTCGCTCTATTTATCTCTCTCCTCGGCTCTTCTCTCTCGCAGATAAATTTTTCGACCTTCTCCGTCTTTCTTTTTCCTTTCGCCAGCCTTTATCCTTTATCTCAACAAGGTCCACGCGATTAGCACAGACGGTGAAAGTTGTAAACGAGCCTACAGAAAATCTCACGTTCACCCCAACATCGCACTCGTACGCCCTTGGACGAAATAATGAGCGCGAGAAGGGGCAAAGGGGAAGGAAAGCAGCCAAGTCCGGGGAAACTCGGTGGAAAACATATTGCGCCGTTAAGGGGTACTCTTCAGGATAGTCTTAATTGGCACGGCCGTTTAACCCTGAATTACAGCGAGTGAAGCTGGAACGATCGCGATCCGGCAGCACCAGATTCAACGTCCTTGATTAATCGAACTATCGACTCGGGCAAAAAGTGGAAGATGATCTAAATTAGGAAATATGCTTTGTGCATATATTGCATCGTAATTTTGTTATTTTTTAATCCAAATTTGTAATTAATATGGTTATTTTTGATATCCATATTAATGACAAATATATATATATAAAATAGATGTTATTTATTTTACGCATATATCATAATTATATTTTGCAACAAAATTGTCAAATAAATTTGACAAAATGATAAGATTAAGGGAGGGACAGAGATTGCTAGACGGAAGAACCATTTACAAATGGTAACAGCGTTTATTGTTAATAATAATAATGACAATAATATTAATAGCGAGTCTCTAATTACAATAATTACATAATGATATTAATGGTACAACAATAAAAACTTCGATAGCGAGAAAAAGGGAAGAATATAATAACTTCTTAGTGAGGCTACGGCGATCGAGTCGCCCATTGACGACTTTCTGCGCCACACACATGTGTGTCCGTTTCTATTTATAATATTTATAGCTTCGATTCATTCATATTTATATTTATATGTATATATTTATACGCTTAGACTAGCCGTGATACGGTCTACGTGCTATTTACAATTTTTGGTCACAGTTGCAACTTTAGGGATTGAGTTTGATACCCTTTTTTCAACGACAGGTGCGGGAGATATGCAAAATACAGTACGTTCTCGCCGTACTTTGACACATTATACATCTTTCGATGATCATGTTATTCGGACAATGTTTGTATTTCTGCATAGAATGCAGCTTTTGAATATTAACAGATTCTTTTTGATATCGCAAATGATATAATATTGACTTTTATTTGTAGCAATGTTTTATTTTTTATTATTTCGTAATGTAAAAAAAGAACTTATATTGCTAAAATAATATCTGTTTACATTAAAGAAGAAATGTCCGATTAACTTGATAAACGCGCGACGTATCGTGAGAGTATCTACGTAATAAGAGAAGTTACAGGTAATCGATTAGCAGTAGGTAGACATCGATTAAAGTAGAAAGTGCTAATCATCGTCCGCAACAAAAACAGTCGACTGTCAATTCACGCTTGCACACCTTTGTAACTCATAAATTACCGTTCCATGCCATAACAAAAAGTCTCTTGTCTGAATAAAAATCGACAAAAAAAAAAACAAACTCACCGTTTACGAACGAAACGGATGCAACACGTTTTCGTGGAATATTCAGTCGCAACAAATCACCGATACACTAGCTCCATTCATCCTGAGTATATCCTTGCGATTCAAGAGTCCTTGAAGTTATGATTCGCGTTAGATTAACTGCTTCGATGAAACAAATAATCGAATAAATATCAACTTATAGTTCTCCTCGCACTAACGTCAAAAGATCGATGAAAACCTCTAGATAAAAATACCAGAGTCCCTTCTTTCAAGCAATTTTCAACGTCCCGAGAATTCACTCCCGAATTGCACTATTCCGGCAAATTCCGCGTCTGCCATGCGATCTGAATTTATACGAAACTTTGCATCTTTAATTGTCTTTAATTGGGTGACATTTTGCTGTCTGATAGTTTCCAAAGCAACACAATATTTTCTGATTAATCACTTTCTTCACTAATTGTATGTTCCAATTCTTTTTACGTTATAAATTAGAATATTATGAATTTAGATTCACAGAAGTAAAAATTCGCGTTCATAATCGGATAAAGTTAATTTCGTTATCAATAGAAAAATATTAAACCAAGAATATAAGAAACAAAATCGAGATGCAAAAAGTTGATATCCTTCAGCAACTCACTACGATACAATCCTCAATTGTTTCACTCGTGATTCTATCTGTGAGATTAATTTATCGCTCTGATTACGTCTCCGCCATCATCGACGACCATAGCGATCGCCATTCGCGATTTCAATTCTCGCAGTAGTTACGTCCTCAATTTGGTCAGACTCCCTGATTCGCGAGAACGAGCCGCTAATTGCGACGAACTCTGACCCGGCGGCGGATTATCAATCGCTGCCTTGCCGTGGCTTCACTGCATCATCGGTGGATTTCCACTGGGCAGGGAATTCTGCCCGGGAATCGAACCAATCGGCGGTCGATGCGACGCGTTGAGGTCGGCGTGCTGGGTCTCGCGGTGCCTCCTCAGATCGACCTTCCGCTGGAAAGCTCGACCGCAGAGCTCGCAGGCGAACGGTTTGAAGCCCGTATGCTTCCTCGAGTGCGTGATCAGGTTGCTGCTCTGCGAGAACGCCTTGCCGCACACTTGACATTTATGCGGTTTTTCGCCTGCAACAGAAGAAAGATGAAAGTCCTTAGAAAGAGTGACTGATTAAGCTTTCCGACATTAACTTCTGAATATGAAAGTTAGACTTGTTGATCATTAGAAAATTATTTACGTAATCGAGAAATTTATTTATATCGAATTGTATAAAATTGAACAAAATTTAAACAAATTTAAACCAGAAACGCTGGCTGGTTTTTATAAATAAAAAAAACAAAAATTCGACCAAAATGTGAAATTATGAAAATTTATTAAAATTATAATTAGGATATGTGTATTTTATAATTTTATCGTTTTACTTTTTTTGTAATTGATTTTTTCTCAAAGCAACTTTCGTAAATAATTCTGCATTATTTACTATGTTATTTGTTACACTTATACCTTTTTATTATATGCATATAACGTACATTAGAAATAAGATCTAAAAACAAAAGGCATTGGAAACGCTAACTGTAAAAATTTCGTATACAGTTTCCAACATTTTATTATTTCTTAAACGGTAAAACGTCTAACAGCGAGAATCTTTTCTCTGACAAATTTATGAATATTGATAGCGTGTTGTGCCATCGAAACTATCTGTAAAAATACTGCATCGTCGAGTACAATGAGCTTAAAAGAGGAATCGGAAAACTTGAGCGGCGCAATCCAGCTTCCCTCTTGCGTCTGCCACATTCCAGCGAGCATACACGTTAATCCCGAAGTACCGATTTTCAGTGCCGCCGGCTCTATTCTGCTCGGTCAAGACTCTTCTCGAGCAAACGGGGTGACGGTCCTCCAGTGGCTAGCCACGCAATTAGGTGGCATCAGCGATCCATACGGGTCAGGCGGGGTGGCGGGGGGACATGGAAGGCTAGCCACCTCGCAAGACGGGTGTAGGTGGCATCAGCGATGCGGGGCACGCCCGGTTAAGATTTCCTCCCAAGCGAGAATCTCAGCCACCCCGGCGGCGAGAAAAGGCAGAGAGAGACAGAACGAGGAGAGAGCGAATAATGGGAAGGGGTGCCTCGCCGTGCGCCGCTCTAGGGGGGTTTCTCGTCGTCTCAGGAACGAGGAGAGAATCCCGGTTGGAAGGGTCGCCGCTCGTTTCTCTCATCCTGGCCGCGAGCTCTGATTGGCGGCCGGGGGCGGCTCCAACCCACGTGTTACCATGACTACCGGCGGGATAACCCGGCTGCTGCTGAGTGAGGGTGAGAGAGAAAGAGGCTACCGGTCGAAGGGTGGTGGTGGCACGACGACGATGCGAACTACGCCGCTGGCGAGCAACGGAGGGCCCGTTAATGGACTCCCCCGTACGTCCATACGTCTGGCCGAGCAAGCGGTACACACGTATGTATGTACACTCTCACCCTCGTGCAGGCATCGGCACGGCGACGGGCGGGGGTGGATCCATAAACAACTCGTTAGCCGAGCCTTCAATCTCGTCTCGCCGATACGACGAGGCCGTCGATCGCCCACGCGATTATACCCGACCGCGATCTTGATTTTCTATCTGGGAAAAAAAATATTGGCTGCTCCTTTCCAGGGATTTCTCGGGAACCGAACATGTCGATTCGTATCCGCGGAAATGTAGTATCTCTCCTGAAATTCGGATTAACGCATGTGATCAATTCGGAGAGTTTAATTTAGGATGTATATACTAAGTATTTTGTGCGATGCAATTTCTTACAACTTGGTGATATTTATATTTTAAATATAATGAGTAAATTCTCTCTTTGAATTTAGTAGAATTTTTTAAGAATTTTTCAATACTTTTTTAAAAAATGCAGACGCGCGTCATTATAAAATCTTCCGGATGTTTTATATACAATAAACAACATCAATAATCTTTCTTAGAATAAAATATAAAAAAGCATTGTTTTTATACGACATAGTTTTATTATATATATTATAAAATGAAATCTTATCAGACAACATAATTTTTTCTGTCAATTTTAATTTGTTCCAAATTAATTTACTGCGCCATCTTTACCAACAACTACAAAGTATCGCACGTAATGCTTTACACAGTCATTTTATGCGAATATCAGTCGCATAGTTGCACTGTCCTTCGGATCAAGATTCACGCGCGGATTCGTAGTTAAGGACGCGCTTTCGTGGGGGGTGAACCGTAGGAATCCGACGAGTCCGCCGCTCGATGAAATTCCACAGAGTTCTCCGCGGACCCGAGGGAGGTGGGACGAAACGCTGGATAGAACGGATAGAATTTTCGCGGAGTTAAGCGCCGGTGGAAGCCAGAACGGGGATGGGTGCGCAGGGCGGCCGTTTGAAATTTATGAGCTCGTAAAATCAAGAACCGTCTGAACGCTCGCACCGAGGTTGCCCGTTTCGCGTCTATATCGCAACGACTTCGCCATGGTTACGGAATATCTCTTCTGCCAGGCGCAGAGACGACCACCTGAAAATCCAAGATCTTTCGCTGTCGATACAAACACATCACACTTTCACATTCGACTGACTAATAAATGGACCCTAGAAATTTTTATTTACTCTGCACATTTATATATAAATTGGATAAAACAAGTAAAAAAATTTTATTTTATATATACATGACTATAAAAATAATCGACATTAAATTCATAAACAAATTTGTAATTAAATGTTAAGAACTTTGAAATATGCTACTTATATAATATGGTATAGTTTTTTTTTAAAATTATTAATAACATTAGCTACAATATCATTTATATACTATTCCACAAAAAATAAGAAACACTTTTCAGACGCTCAAAATCGAGCAATTTTTAAACGACTAAAACTCAGCGAAAGATCATCGCAGACTAAAAATTGAAAAAGCATTTTAAAGCTAAAAATTTGCACTTTCACGTGTTTTAAGGTTTTTTTGAAAATTACCTTTACACTTCTAAGCCCAAAAAAAGAACATATTGTTTTGTTCTTAAAATTACGTACGTTTAACACTTCACAGCTTGATAAAAACATTTTTCTCACAAAATTTATGATAAGTTTCAAAAATTGATATTTTTCCTACAGAATGCGTTTTTTTTTAATTCCTACGATTTTTTTTTTTGGTCGAGTTAGAAGCTAAATCTGGAATTTTTACGCTAACGCCACTACTGATTTAAAATCGCGTAGCTTGCACCAAAAAGTCGTAACAAAATTTTAAAAAAGCACATTTTGTAGGTAAAATGTTATAGTTTTTGGCATTTATCATAAATGCCTTTTTACAAAAAGTATTTTTTTATCGACTACAAAACAATATGTTCTTTCTTTGGATTCAGAAGTGTAAGGATAAAAAATTTTCAAAAATGACCTGAACCATGTAAGAGTACAAGTTTCAAGCTTTAAAATGCTTTTTTATTTTATTATCTACGATGATTTTTCGCCGAGTTCCAGCGGTTTAAAAATTGGTCAATTTTAAGCGTCCCAAACGTCGCGACGCGGCAGAATAGTGCAGCCAAGAACGGCTGAGTGTGCGCCATTAATACGCACGATATCGTATTAATGGCGCGCACTCAGCCGTTCTCGGCGATACTGTTTTGCCGCGTTGAGACATTCAGACGTTTAAAATTGACCAATTTTCAAACCGCTGTAATTCTGTGAAAAATTATCGTAGATAAAAAATTAAAAAAGCATTTTAAAGCTTGAAACTTTTACTTACTTTATGTGCTGTAGACCGTTTTTAGAACTTTTTTATTTTCCAAAAAGAAACACATTGTTTTATAGTTAATAAAATAATTTTTCTTGCAAAATTTATGATTGGTCATCAAAAACTAAAACATTTTGTTCACAAAACACGTTTTTTAAATTTTTCTACGATTTTTTTGTCCGAGTTACGCGACTTTGAAACTAAAGCTGCATTTTTTACGCTAATGCTATTTCGTTAGTAAACACTATTTTTTGTAAAAATAAAAAATTAAAAAAAAACTATCTAAAGCACGTGAAAGTGCAAACTTTAAACTGCTTTTTTAATTTTTTTGTTTGTGATAATTTTTTGCCGAGTTTCAGCGGTTTGAAAATTGCTCAATTGTGTGCATTTGAAAAGTGTCTTCTATTTCTTATAGAGTAGTGTATTTATTTTATATTATCGCATAGTATTTTATTTAGTGTCCTTTTTGTAATTTTCATTATCCGGAGATAATGTCAGTACTTTCATACTTGATATTGTTGATGCAGCTAGCGCGAATTGCAGTATTTTTTAGTGGCCGAGAGGATATTAAGTTCCGCGCCCGTACGCAAGAGAGGGTGGCACTTTAAAATATCATTTTCTTGAGAAAACGAAGGATTAAGGGGACGGGAAAAAGAAGGAAGAGGAGGAAGGGAGAATAATGTGTAGAAATGGAACGCCGGGTCTACTGGGATTCTCGTTTCTCGGAAACGAAGTAAAGAAAAGGAAGACAGGGTAGAAAGAAAAGGAGCCGCCGGAAATTTACGCGCTCGTAAAAATCAAGAGCCGTCGGAACTCTGTTGAATCCGTCGGGTTTTATTTCTTCGGCGGAATTGTCTGTGTCAAAATAACCGCGTTAATAAATTCGTTGAAAGCAATGCGTTACCGAGATGACGTGTTATTCCCATTACGAGATTAAACGTTACAATTCTTCCCACATATTGTTCTTGATTAGATATTGATTGATTAATTGATTATCGATTTTTCTTTGGTAATAATTTCATTATTAGACCTTATATGGATTACTTTGCTTATTTACGTAATTTATGGATGCCAATATTTTCTTGCAAGAGAATAAACAAGGCAATACAGCTTCGAGAACGCGATTGGAACGATGATCGATGATCAATAATACTCCGAGTATGAGAGCGAAATTTCAGCTATGAGCACGAACGGAAGAATTTTCGAAAGAAGGAGTAAGGAAAGTGGAAAATAAAGAAAATGGTTGGCATAAGCGAAACGTACGTGATCTTATGTGCCCGTAAAAGAAATGTCATGAAATGTCTATCAGTTTTAATAAGTTTTGCAATAATTGATTTTACAATGCTAAATAGTCGCAATTTGTGAAATACAAGTTGTCTTCTGACAAAATTTTTTTATTTT